TTGATTTAACACTTGATTCAATCTTTCTCGGTTTAATTATTAAAAATATAATATAAATACAGTTAATTCAATCGGTTCCTGTTTCCTGTGTGTATGATTGTATCATTATATTTATCTGTTTTTAATTTCAAACTAAAAAATAATAATTTTTTAATAACTAAACCAAAGGGTGTTGAGCCGAATGTTAAAATATAGAGTGTATCAATTATTGTTTTTTTTTTTTTTAACAAGTTTCAATTTTTGGGAGGAAAGATTCAAATCTCAACTTTAAGATTGAGGTATATTTTACAATAAAACATAGAACTATCAAGTTACGAGATTGAACTGCGAGTTTAGTATTCTTTTAGTTGATGTTAAGTTAGTAGTAATGATTATTTATTGATTTTTTTTGTAAGGCGAAATATAGTATTAATTTGGAGTACAGGGGGTACTCCGAACCCTTTACATGATTTCGAGCAGACCAGCTAAGGACCCCTGCGATGATAAATGACGGGGCTCTTTTTTAGCTGCCTTAGATTTACAACAGTGAAGAGCTTCTTAGACTACCTGGGCCGTATACAAGCAGCTTACTGGATTAAGAATCCAGTCTGATACAGAAAACAGGCTGCCACTCCTTTTGCCTTTGATCCATTTAAAGGACCTCACCTGCACCAGCTCTAATAATCTGCCGGACTCTACCTCTTTACCTCTAAATAGCTTTTCATTTCTAGCTAACCAGATAGACCAAACCATAGAGAACCAGATGCATTCCCAGCCCCCCCCCCCTCACCTCTTTGATGTTGAATGTGAGTGGGTGCTGATCAAACACCCTCCCACAATCACTGTCTAACACTTGCTTACAACCCCACCACCTATAACAACTATTCCATAGACCCCACGCAATTTTACAGTGAATAAAAAGATGATTGGAATCTTCACTTACTAAGCCACATAGAATACACTTGCACTCTGCAATGTCTTGAATGACCCCCCTCTTCAACAGGTTCATCTTTGTTGGGATCTTATCTTGCAACACTTGCCAAGCAAAAACAGAAATTTTGCTCGGGATGTAGGCATGCCAAACTTTACTAATTGCTGGTCTCTGCTGGACTGTCCTGTGATCCTTTGTCAAGGCTTGGTAAGCTGATTTTGTTGTGTATATTCCATCCTTGCTATGAACCCAGTTCCTCACATCTGGTTTTCCTTATTCTATTTTGGTGTCTTGGATCACAGCCTTAAGTGCCTCCACCTGCTGTTCCTCCCAACTGAACAAATTTCTTCTCCACATCAAGTCCCACTTCCATAAGTCATCCTGCCAATTTCCCATTTGGGAAATCTTTTTGTCTTTTCCTGCAGAGATTAGATAAAGTCTAGGAAACTTGTTAGCTAGACTCTCCCCCCCACACCACTCATCCCACCAAAAGCTCGTATCCTTTCCGTCCCCCACTCTAATTTCTAGACCATCTGCAAGCCACCCTTTGTTGTGGTTTTCCATGTCACTTAACCTGCAGATATCCCTCCACCATGCAGACCCATAATTGAAACTCTCCCTCAGCCAATTAAAACTAGGTTCCCCTACCTTCCCGTAATTCTCGAAGATAACCTTACCCCAGAGCCCTTTATCTTCCCTCACTAGCCTCCCCCACCACTTACCTAACAAAGCAAGGTTAAACTTCCTTAGATCCTTGACCCCCAACCCACCGCAGTGTTTTTCTTTACAAACATTTTCCCATTTAACCCAGTTAATCCTCTTCCCCCCCTCAGCCCCACCCCACAAGAATTTTCTACAAATTTTGTCAAGTAACAAGATTGTACCTTTCGGGATCAGATACATCGACATCCAGAAGACGGGGAGACTTGACAGCACTGAGTTAATAAGCGTGATCCGACCCCCTAAACATAAATATCTGCCTTTCCATGAAGCTAACTTCCTTTCAAATATGTCTACCATTGGTTTCCAAAATGCAGTGCTTTTGCAACTTCCTCCAATTGTGATACCGAGGTACTTAATTGGCAAAGTACCTTTTTTGCAACACAAAACCCATGACATTTTGTTCAACCAATCATCCTCCACACCAATTCCCACTAGTTGGCTTTTATTGAAATTAATTTCGAGACCCGAAACCAGTTCAAATGCTCTCAAGATTCCTTTCATTGCCCACACATTTTCTTCTGAAGCCCTACCAAACAAAATCGTGTCATCAGCATATTGTAAGTGTGAAATACTAAAGCTTCTATTTCCCACCTCCACGCCTTTTAACTTCCCATTTTTAACAGCCTCTGTCACCAGCCCGTTCAGACCCTTTGCAATAATAAAAAATAGGAACGGGGATAAAGGGTCCCCCTGCCTCAGACCTCTTGACACCTTAAATTGCCTACTTGGGCTGCCGTTAACTAGGATTGAAACCAAACTAGATTGTAAGCATTCTTGAATCCACAAACTCCATTTCTCACAGAAACCCATCTTCTGCATCATGTGGTTAAGGAAGGACCAGCTTACCGTGTCATAAGCTTTCTCAAAGTCTATTTTAAACAAGAATGCTTTCTGCCTTTTCTTTTTTGCTTCGTCAATCACCTCATTAGCTATGGCTACTCCATCCATCAGCTGTCTTCCCTTAAGGAATGCCATCTGTTGTTCCCTAACACCTCCTTCAACCGGTTAGCTAAAAGCTTAGCCAAGATTTTATACATCACACCAACAAGAGAAATGGGTCTATATTCCTCAATCCGAACTGGATTTTCTACTTTTGGCACAAGAACAGAAAAAGAAGTGTTTAGACCTCTCACTAGTTTGCCATTTGTCTGGAATTCTTGCAAGAAACTCACCACATCAGCTTTAATTACATCCCATTCAGATTTGACAAACCTGAAATTGAATCCATTCGGACCTGGGGCCTTCGAGCTATCACATTCTCCTACTGCTACCTTTATCTCCTCCTCAGTAAAGGGAGAAATCAGGTTTACATTTTCTTCCCATGAGAGTTGCTTGAAACCCAGCCCATCTAGTCTAGGTCTATCCTTCTTCTCTTCAGCATACAATTCCTCAAAATAACAGGCAATTTCCTCTTTCAATCTGTTGGCATCCCTGATTTGAACCCCTTTTATCTGTAAGTTATTCATTTCTGACCTTCTCCATCTGCCCTTGACGTAGTTGTGGAAGAACCTGGTATTGGCGTCCTTTTGAGCCACCCAAGCTTTCCTTGCTTTCTATTGCATCATGCTTTCCTTGCTTTTCAAACCCTCCCAAATCTGGATGAACGCTTCTCTTCTCCTGTCGATCTCTTCCACTGACAATTGTGTCACTTCCCCCTTCATATCGATTATGGCTATGTCTGAAGAAGCATTATTAATTTTTAGGTCCAAAGCTGGAATTAGGGTCTTGCTCCACTTCCGTAAGGCTTCCTTGGTTGCCTTTAACTTTTCTTTGAGGCAGTAGCCTGCCCACCCTTGGATCTAGGTGTCATTCCACACTTCTTTGATCAGATTACCACATCCTTCTTGCTCAAGCCAAGAATCAAAGAATCTCAATGGTTTTGGGCCCCACTCAATGGTCTGGTGTTTTAATAAAATTGGACAATGATCGGACACCGTTCTTCTCAAACCCCATTGCCTAGCGTCTCCCCACTTCGACAACCACCCTTTTGAAAGTAAGAATCGGTCAATTCTGCTCATATAATTTCCTTTTGCTTGGTACCATGTGAACTTCCTGCCCACTAATGGGATGTCAACCAAATTCATGGCCTAGATAAAACTTTCGAATTCTCTCATATTGCTGGTCACGCCTGCTCTCCCCTTTCTTTCCTCTGCCTTTCTAACAGTGTTAAAATCGCCCATAATGCAGATTTTTTCTCCCCCATTCTGGCATAAACTTCTTAACTCATCCCAGAGAGCTCTTTTACCAAGTAGTTGACATGGAGAGTAAACATTTATAAGAACAATTTGTTCATTATCAGGGCACCACAACCCTTCTATACCTATAAAGTGCTCTCCCTCCAAAATTCTTGAGGCTCTAATAACTTTGGAATTCCAAAAACAGGCTAAACCTCCCGACATACCCACTGCATCCTTGGCAACCCATTCCACCTCATCTGTACCCCACACTGATATGCTAATTCTTTTATCTATCCCTCTCAATTTAGTTTCTTGAACAGCTAGGAAATCCACCTTTTCCTTCTTAACTAGCTCCCTCAAGTGTCTTTTCTTCCCTACCCCCATTCCTCTGATGTTATAAGCTAACACATTCATAACTCAATAATACTAACCTTCGGATCCTTACCCCCTGACTTCGAGATCTCCGATTCCTTGGCCCTCTGTCTCTTTTCTCCATTCCTTCAAGGTTCCTGAGGGTCTCGGCCTCATCCTCTGCAGTAACCCCAATTTGCTTCGCAAAGTCCCATAGCTCTGCTGCTATTCTACGGCTAGTATGCTCCTTAAACATCCTGTTACAATTTGCAATCCCGTTGTCTCCTACGGACCCACCCGCCACAGAATAACTTGAATTTGGCAAGAAGCTCGGCATTTCTTGACTTGGAACCTTCTTTGGCATGGATCCGCACTTGGTTTTCTTCTTAAGGCTCATTAAACCCAGGATGCTAGCCTTTTGATACACTGATCTGCACGAAAGTGCCTTCTTCTTCTTCTTCTTCATTCTGTCCGGTTTGCTACTTGTTGCCCTCCCTTCCTTGCCGCTCAGCACCCTCCTCACCCCTCCGAACTCTTTAGCTACTTCTAGATCTATCGAAGCCTCTCTACTTCCTTCCCGAGACAATCCCCCTTTATTTTTACTTTTTTTGGCTTTTGCATTTTGTCCGAGAGAGCCAATCCCTTGTTGAGACTCCAGTTGAATATATTTGCTACTGTCGGTGGTCTCACAGTCCCGGGTCTCCACATTCGGGCCTTCACCATTAAGCTGAGAGTGGGCTGATTGATTGGGTTTGGGCCTATCCCACCCGAACCTTGCTTCCTCTTTTGAGACTTCAATTGGGTTGGAGCTAGCCCGATTTTGCGACACAGCTGCTGGAGTAACTTCTTCATCTCTACTTCCTACGTCACTTCCTGCTAAGCATTCCTCGAGACTATCTGCAACCACTTCAACTGACTCCTCTTCACCCATCCAGCTGTAAAAGATCTTATCCTTCTTTTTCTGACAAATATCATCAAGCATATCTCCTTCAAATTCAAAATGAGCCTCGGGACCCGAAATGTCAGACACCCGTTTGTTCTTCCATTTCTGGTCCGGTAAAGACCCTGCAGTGTCCCCGTTGCCGGCGGTAGGCGCCCTGTTAGCTTCACGACCTCCCTCTCCTGGTTCTTCCTCAGAATCCAATCCATCCGACCAGGATTCTTCAAACTCAGTGTCACTCTTGAGACTTGGCAGAAAATCATATTTCATAGAGAATAGGCTGTTAGACATTTCTTCTTCCGTGAACATGAGATTGTAGTGGATCCCATTCACTTTGATCTGCCTTTTGACTGAGATTGGTTCCATAATCGACGTGGAGATAAGGATTCGAGCAACGTCAAATCTTCTTTTCTTGCTAGTGTTTTCATCCAGGCTGATAAATTTACCCCAAGCCGCCACCATTGATTCAAAGAACTCAGGCCCCCACACATGCAATGGGACTCCCAGGCACCTTAACCAAACAAACCTTTCCTTTGCTACCATTGTTGGAGACCATGGCTTGACTTTCACGAACCATTGGCTTAACCAGCTAGCTGCACCCTGAACTAGATCTTTTAGCTCTTCCTTGTCCTCACAGTCCATCAATACCATTTTGCCTCCCATAGCCCTAAGACGGCATGTGAAGTAACCTTCCATATAAAATCTTTCCTGAAGGATTGGAACTATTTCTACGGAGTGGGCAACTCTGACATAGCAGTCTCGCAGCCATTCACAATCTTCATCCTTAACGTTGTACTCCATACCCACCCATGCTTCCCCTTCCTTCTTTTTTCTCCATTCTTGCTGGTTGTTTACTTTTTTCAGCCTGCCGCTGCTTACACTTCGAACTCTCTTTGGATCAGCTGCCATTGGGCGTTCAACACCAGGTCTAGGCCCCTCCTTTTCTTGCCCTTTAACTGCTTCAGCATAGGACTTCCCCTTAACCACTATACTTGATTTAACCGGGATCCTACTCACCTTCGTCTCATGAGCTTCCACTGGGTATTTAGCTAGATTCACCCAGATTTTGCACCCATCTACTCTTATCTTATCTAATTGGTTTTCCAGAACCTTCGGGTTCATCACCTCTAAGAACCTAACAAACCCAAACCTTTTCCCATTCCTAGATTTTCTTAGTGGGCTGTAAACTGCATATACTCTGCCATATTTTCTAAAAGTCTTCCACATCTCTTCATAACTCCATTCATCTGGGAAGTTGGTGAAAAAGAAAGCCGTGGCTTGCTTGTACATCCCCTCATCATACCCCCACTCGACAACCTTCCTCTGGTTCCTGATATCCCCTTTCTGACTAACTTCCAGATCCCGTCTCAGTCTGCTGATCTCTATGGGTCGCTCATACGCTCTACCTAGTGCTGTCCATCTAGTCCGCGACCGAAGTCCTTTGCCTGATCCCCTGCCTCTCTCTCTGCTTCTTCCTCTCATAGTGTTTTTTTACCACTACGACCCATTCAGTTGGAAGTGTAATGATTATTTATTGATTAAACTATAAAAAAAATTAATTTGAGAAAATAAAGCACACCAATATATATAGTGAAGTGATTAAAGGATGGTCTTCTAGAGTTTGAATGTACGTTGCTCCCCTAGAGTTTGAATTTGTATTTCTTGATCAAACTAAAAAATAATGTATATTTGAAAAATGAAGTATGTATAGGAAGTTAAGAATGGTTAAACTTTAATTTTATAATTTTTTATTAAACTAAGAAATAAATTAAAAATATATTTTTTTTAATTTTTTGATGAATAAGTATTCCTTCATTCGTGGTTAATATAAAATAAGAATTAAACTTTTTGACTTAATTATTTTTAATTTTTTAATAAAAATTACTAAATTTTATATTATATTTTATGGTGTAAATAAAATATAGCAACTACTATAGTACTACTAACCAAAAATAAATATATTATATAATAAAGATCTTTTTATTTTGTGTTGGCATAAATTAAAAAT